TTTTTTTTGTCCACAAGCTTTCTTCCAAGGCATCTCCTCCACCCTCATGGCTCCTATGACCATTTAAATGCAGATGACTCCCAGTGACTTTGCCCACACCAGCTCCTCTCTAGGGCTCTAGAGGTAGCTACTCAGTGTCCTATTAGATGTGTGGAGCTGGACGTCCTATGGACACCTTAAACTTAACATGTCCTCAAACAAACACCTTTTCTCTGACCCCATATCTGTACTGTCTCTTCTATTTTGATCTGGGTAAATGGCATCACCGTTTACCTGTCTCCCAATTTAGAAACCTTGGGTGTTGTTCTCACCTCCTTTCTCTCAACCCCTACAGTCAGCTGCCAAATCTTGCTGCTTCTAATTTTAAAACATCATTTGATTCTGTCTCTTCCAAATTCTATGCTACTGGTTCAAAATAGGATTTCAGCATATCTTCTTTGGACTATTATTGCAACCCTGTCTGTGATCTGTTCTCCTGATAACATTTTTCCCCATCCATATTCTCCAGCTTGCCACCAGAGTTGCAGAAAACAAAGCTTCTGTTGGTTTATATGCCCAGAGGGAAAAATTCCAACTATGTAGTTTGGCCACAAAGCACTTAACCTCTTGGCCCAATCTTCTTCATTTAGACTCCCTGCCTTCATGTTCTCCAGGCACATTCTAGGTTCTTGTCGCTTCATAGTGTCACTGCTTTGCAGCACATAACCATACATTTTCAGAAGTCCATACATATTTTTTTCAAACTGTTCCTTTTCAAACTGTTCCTCTCCATCTCTATTCACTTGAAAAATACCTCCATCTGTTAAAACCAAGTTTAAGCATCACATACTTGGTCTGCCTTCCCCATTTCTTCCAGGCTACTGATGTTCTGTACCTTTTGCTCCCAGAGTGCTTTGTATTTGCTGCAGACTTTACAATGTGGCTCTTAATTTTTCTATTTACATGTTTGCATCTCACACTAGATAGACTGCAAGCTTCTGATGATCAGAAAACTGAAAACAAGTTCTAATAAATATCGATGAGGGTACACAATGTTGTTTTCCTCCCGTGAAGTTTTTGGTATCAATCTCTTTTTCGTCCTTCCTTCTACCATCTGTAATAGACAATCGACTTTGAACTTAGGTTTTTTTTTTTAAACATATATTCCTTTTCATATTCTTTTTCATTATAGGTTACTACAAGATATTGAATATAGTTCCCTGTGCTATACAGTAGAAACTTGTTTACCTATTTTATATATAGTAGTTAGTATCTGCAAATCTCAGACTCCCAATTTATCCCTTCCCACCCCTTTCCCCACTGGTAACTGTAAGTTTGTTTTCTATGTCTGTGAGTCTGTTTCTGTTTTGTAAATAAATTCATTTGTGTCTCTTTTTTTGAATCCACATAAGAGTGATATCATATGGTATTTTTCTTTCTCTTTTTGACTTACTTCATTTAGAATGCTTACCTCCAGGTCCATCCATTTTGCTGCAAATGGCATTATATTATTCCTTTTTATGGCTGAGTAGTATTCCATCATATAAATATATCACAACTTCTTTATCCAGTCATCTGTCGATGGACATTTAGGTTGTTCCCATGTCTTGGCTATTTTAAATAGTGCTGCTATGAACATTGGGGTGCATGTATCTTTTTGAATGAGAGTTACCTCTGGATATATGCTCAGGAATGGGATTGCTAGATCATATGGTAACTCTATTTTTAGTTTTTTTAAAAGAATCTCCATACTGTTTTCCATAATGGCTGCACCTAACTACATTCCCACCAGCAGCATAGGAGGGTTCCCTTTTTGCCACACCCTCTCAGCATTTATCGTTTGTGGACTTTTGAATGATGGCCACTCTGACTGGTGCTAGGTGATAACTCATTTAAGTTTTGCTTTTCATTTCTCTGATGATTAGAGATACTGAGCATTTTTTCATGTGCCTATTGGCCATTTGTATGTCTTCATTGGAAAATTGCTCGTGTAGGTCTTCTGCCCATTTTTGGATTGGGTTTTTTTTTTTGTCAAACTTAGATTTTTAATGCCTTCAGGCTGACCACCTAGCACAGCACTTATCAGTAATGTAGTCACTGTTGCTATTGGACACTTGAAGTGCAGCTGGTCCAAGTTGAAATGAGCTGTAAGTGTAGAATACACACTGGATTTTGAAGACAATATGGAAACAAGAATATAAAATATCTCACTAATAATTTTTGGTACTACTCACATGTTGAAATGATAATATTTTGGACACACTGTATTAAATAATATGTACCATTAAAATGAATTTCACCTGTTCCTTTTTCTATTTTTTTAAAAAAATTTTTGCTTATTTTATTACAATTTTTTAAATGGAGGTATTGAAACCCTTGTGCATACTGAGCATGTATTCTTCCACTGAGTTATACCCTCCCTTTTTCTATTTTTAAACGTGGCTACTAAAAAATTTTAAAGAACATATGTGGCATATATTAAATTTCTATTAGATGTTACTGTGCCTCTTCAATCCATCAAATACATCATTTCTTGGTGGTAAGTCTGTCTTCTGTTTTTTTATTTTTTCTGAATTCTTGCACTGGGGGAAAAAAGCCACTAAAATTAGTATTTGTTAAGTGCTTCCTGTGGATTAACTTTCCCAAACATCTTTTTTTTTTTCCATGCTACTATCCTAGGTGAAGAATCTACAGTTTTCTGTTGTCAGCTGCATCAAGGCAAGATTGCTTCGTCTGGTATCCCAAGCCTTCTCCTCCTCCTCTTTCTCTTCTCCTTCTTCTTCATTTTCTTTTTCAGTTGAAGTATAGTCAGTTTACAGTGTTGTGTCAATTTCTGGTGTACAGCATGTTTCAGTCATACGTATCCATACATATATTCCTTTTCATATTCTCTTTCATTATAGGTTACTACAAGAGACTGACTGTAGTTCCCTGTGTTATGCAGTAGAAACTTGTTGTTTATCTATTTTATATATAGTAGTTAATATCTGTAAATCTCAGACTCCCAGTTTATCCCTTCCCACCCTGTTTCCACCTGGTAACCATAAGTTTGTTTTCTATGTCTGTGAGTCTGTTTGTCTTGTAAATAAGTTCACTTGTGTCATTTTTAAAGATTCCACACGTAAGTGTTAACATACAGTATTTTTCTTTCTCTCTCTGGCTTACTTCACTTAGTATGACAGTCTCCAGGTCCATCCATGTTGCTGCAAATGACATTATTTTGTTCTTTTTTTATGGCTGAGTAGTATTCCATTGTATGTGTATCTATCTATCTATCTATCTATCTATCATCTATCTATCTATCTATCTATCTCACATCTTCTTTATCCAGTCATCTGTCAATGGACATTTGGGTTGTTTCCATGTCTCCCAAGCCTTCTTTAATCCTGTTGCACTTGACTTCTCCAGCATTGTCTTTCACTTTTCCTAAGTAGCACCTCTGTCCTTCAGTCTGTTTTCCAAGCTACTTGAAGCTAATTAGTTCACTTACTCACCATCTACACTGCCATCACCATTCAATTTAATTGCACAAATGTTTTTGAGACCTTGTGCCAAGAATCAGGCTAGGCGGGCATGGAATTCACCTTCATGCAGGGCCTAGGCTAGGAATTGGCCCTATAAGACAGATTCCTGCTCAGTGCCTTCCTTAGCATCTGCCCCACCACAGGCAGGGGCCATGTTTATTATGATTACATAAGCCCTATATTAGAAATTGCTAATAAACCACAACATGCAGAAACATTTGCATTACCTCACCCAGGGTTCAAATCCCACGGGATTGGATTGGGAAACTCTGAGTTCCAGTCAAGAGTATCTCCTTTCCCTAGTTTCCTTTTTTGCATTAAAAGTAACTGTTGATACAGATTCTTGTTAAAGTGAAACCTCCCAGGGCCAGTATTTGGTTCCCCCTCTACATTCCTTCCCCTCCTATGGAAGTGAGACAGGAAGGAAGGAGGCAGTGCACAGCCATTCAAAGCATGACACAGCAATTAATGCCAAAGCAGTGGAAAATTCAACTTCCAACAGGCCTTGAGGCCTAAGGTGGTGGGAGATTTTACTTCTAGTGGAACTTGAGCTTCATTGTACGCTCACTGTAATACATTAGCATGGTAAATGACACTCTCACAGGTACATGACAGTTGCAAGGCTAACCATAAAAGATCAAATAGTGGGCGGTGGCCTAACTCCTGGGAATCCCAGCCCCTTCCCCAAAGTAGTAGAAATAATCCTCCCACTTATTAATGTATGCTATGCAGCCCAGAAAAACTAACAACCTCCACACCTGGTGGCCGCTATCCCTTCTGAGAGAGATAGACTGCACTCTGTCTATGGAGTATGTATCTACTGAGCACTCAGCCCTCACACCTGATGGCCTTTCTCTTACCTTTTGAAATAGCCTGCACTCTATGGAGTATGTAACTCTCTGAATAAATCTACCTTTACTCAACTGTGGCTCACTCTTGAATTCTTTCCTTTGTGAAGCCAAGGATCCACACTTGGAAGGGTGTGTCCCAGGGACTCCACTGAGACCTGGGAAATGGCCATTCTCTTGTCCCATGTTCATTTTACCTGTATCAGAATGCCCTACTGCCAAACATTTTAGACCCTGAAGACATAGGACTTTGGATTCCAATTGCATCTCCTCCCCTGAGTAGCTCTGTAACGTGGGCAAGTGATCTAACTCCATGCCTCCATTTCCTCCTCTGCATAGTGAGGGTAACAGTATCAAGGGTTGCGATAGGGTTAAATGAGTTAATAGTTCATGGCCTAGAGTAATCACTCAATAAATGTTAGCCCTCAGTATGTGTCACTATCAGACTATTTCCCTCCCTTAAACTGTAAGGGACTGTTTTGCCTTCTTCATTCCATGCGCGTCGCCAGCTCCTGTTTCAAAACTGCTGGTGAATAAACAGTGAATGAATTTAAAAAGTCCCTCCAATCACGGTTATTTCTGCCTTTGCAATGTCTGCCAGCGAGAGCAAAGGCAAGGAAGCCTCCTTGGAAAGGTATTCCTTTACCAGGTTTGACCTGAAGCCACCAGGAATAAGCACATCTCACAAGGGGGGGAAGCCTGACGTGGGCAGGGCGCGCATCCTTCCGGAACCACGGCGGGCGGAGCCGGGGCGGAAGGATCCGGCGGGCTAGTTCTGAGGTAAGCCCAGCACATGCGCAGCCCGCCCGGCGGCCGCGTTCCTTCCGGTGGCGCCGCCCGGAAGCGTCGGCTCCGCCCCCTCCCCTCGCCGGCCTGGGCGCT